TACGTACATGGAGCTGTCAAGATCAATAAACAACTGAGATGGTCAGAAATTGCGAGCACAAATGCCATACTGGTTGATCTTCAAGTAACGAGCTAAGCTATCACGGTCAGAGTCATGTAGTAATAAGCTGTACACTGCAAAATTAATCACAGAACGCTAGGTGGTAGCTTTATCAAAAACCTTTAAAATACACCCTAACAGTGGCTTCGGATGGTTTTGATCCTAGCCAGCAGGCCGCGAACGACTGGTGGATCGGATATAACATCAGGTGTAATGATTATCGGGCGCCTGTTCCAACCTGAGGTCCTCCAGGAGATGCCTAATTGGCCACGGTAAACGAGCCAGAATTTCCACTCAAGTCTACGCAGACAATACTTTTCGACCATAACTGTATTCCTGGAATTGGCTCTGTGCTTGGAAGTAAACCTAAGAGAAACTTTTTCTAGAGAAACAGTAGATTTCTAGTAGACCCGTGTGCTACCGCTGAGGTCAGGGAAAACAGCGAGCTTCGGTTGATAGCACAAATGATAGAGTTTTGGGTTTCTTAAATGGCAGATCAGGCTCACCGTCAACTGATTAAAGGTTCGGACAAAACCGCTGATGCCGGGTGTCTCCGTGGAGTCAGAGTCTGTGCAGTCCAAAAGAGCGGTCCGTACGAGCGACGGCTTGGCCGAAACCTGTGTGAACTCAGAGGTCACGTTGAGAACCACAAGTTGGAGGGCGCCATCCCCTGCAAGAACGAGCAGGCTATTCGGATGGAAGAGGACGGAGGCGTGTGTTTTGAAGAGAGCCGCGTTGAAGGAGCTATCGGAGAGGTGGGTGTAGGACAGGACGGCGTCTGCAAGGGTGCTACTAGGACAGGCAGTAGGCACGTCTGGTGAATCGAACAGACCCACGACCAATGCCGTATCTTCAATTCGTTTCACCACACCGTAGTAGACCTGAAATAATTAGAAATAAGTGGAGAGTAAGCAATAGTTGTTGCCGCAAAACGGGCCCTTCATTAGCTGTTAGAGGATTTGGCAGATTTGATTAATTTAGTTGACCAATTGTGAAAAAACTCGCGGCCTCGGTGGGAATCGAACCCACAGAGTAGGGAAGGCTTTGCACAGACAATGTTCTACCACTGAGCTACGAGTCTCACCGTGCGCCATGAATTTAATTATGCTTGGATCGATTTTACCCACCCAACCTACTGTTTGCATGGAATCCACCATTACGGAACAGCAAGCTGACTGCTCAGGCAAGATTTCCTAAACAATCATCTAGAATCCGCCAGAATGACTACTAGGCTCCCTTAATTGTTATGGGGGGGGCGACAGATTTGCTTAATACTGAGGTATCTGCTACTGCTTTCTCCTTATGTCTTCGATGATGAATCCGCGACGGATCTCGAAAGGTCAAGCGAATAAAAGTATTGTCCCAACCATCGAGTTGTCTTCTTCTTTTAAGATTTTAGCTGAACAATTAATATCAGTACCAACTGAGAGCATGACGTTGAAGGGAAAAGGTTTAACCAAGTATTTGCATTGTCCGCCAGAATACCACGAAAACCAGTTTAGGGAAAGAAAATGTATTGCACAGGCGCCTCATGGCTTTCACTATTGACTTTACATACACAAGGTATTCGGATAGCGCTCTTGACCAGGGCCGATGCAGCTAAATCGGCCACCCAAGCCAGGGAGTTGGCCAGGCTACGTAACTTCCAACACACATATCACAACCATTTCAACATGCAAGGTGCCCAAAAAGTATCGATGTTTTGCCTTTTCGTTTTACAAATAAAATGAATCAGTGAAAGTCCTTCCCGCATGATTTTACGTATCGGCTGTCGCGGATGCCCGAAATTGGATTAATGACCATGTGAGAGCAGGATCAAACTAGTTTCGATTAAATGTCGGCGGGCTCATCCGGATAGTCAGACACCAGTGTCAAATATGAAAATGACGTTAAGCAGACGCAGAGGTCTGTTGGTGTGAGCTGGGAAGTGTAAAGTGGGACCTTCCCAAACCATGTTCAGAGGGCTGGAGTTGAAAAAATATGACAGACGTCTGATATGAACGTCAATCAAAGCAAATAAACGGTGCGAGTTTAATCGACACTCATGATGACCTCCCTTTTTTAGGGAGGAACTGTGAAGTGGCTCGCAATAGCTCGGTGCACGTCTTGGTTTTTTTTCCAAGTCGTGAAAAAACGACACACACTGCAGACGTTTTATAAGACACCGTCTGCTTGACTACGAGCAGTACTGAGACAACAGTAAGTGACACAGAGGATGTAGAACTGGCAAATAGCGCGATCAGTGCACGAAAAAGGCCCTTGTCATTTACGTCATTTACTGACTGAGAATCGGAATGCAGTCTTGGACAAAAAGTATTGTGAATAGAAGGGCGCGCCGAAGGCGATGTCTCTGTGACCCAGACTTTCATCCGAAGCAGTATCACTAACAGCTGCACCGTAGCAGTTTGCATCTAGTTTCATGCAACTTCGGCTGAAAGTAGCAAACAGGCTTCGACATAGAACAGCAAAGTGGTAGCAAGTTGACTTTCTGGGGGCCCAACATCGCCCCAAGTGCCACTCAATTTCAGCGTTTAATCGTATCCACTACTGCACGAGTGTTTAGAGCGTTAGCAAACTGACTAATAGGATGATTAACACCCACGTAACACTTCCGAGGAAATAGGAAGGATGACGCAGCCTGCAGAGTCTTCGGAAGTAAATATGCGCTGTGTATGTACGCATGTACGGATGCAGTCCCCAGTACTGGACGCTTAGGTCTGAGGAGCAGATCACTGTACATCGCAAACAGTAGTTAAAACACTGTTTTCGCCAGTAGATCAGTCACTCTAGATCAGTCACTCAGTCACTCCAGAGGAGGAG